GGTCTTCTGCCACAAGTTCACTTAGTCACAACACTCACACTAGGTGTGAGTGTCCAGATAATCCGATGCTAAAAGCTTCTGCGAAATGTGTTCACGTTTAATGTTGGGAAACCCCAACTCCCAGCTCCAAAGGGGTTAATGTCAAAACAGCATCTAAAGTTATACGGTAATTCAGTATTTCATAAGACAAATATAAAATAAAACTTCTGACATGTAGCTTCACTGAATTACTAAACTGGTTAGCTCTACTGAATGCTCAGTCATCTCTGCTTTTCACCAAAAATAATTTAAGAACAGCTTTTATTTTAAAATCTGGAACCAAGCAGAGGCCATCTCACAGAAGACTGAAGGTAAGTTACCCTCACGACCTGTAATTAAACTAGCACATCTATCTGAAGACCTTTTGTAGCCCAACAATCCCTCTATCTGCCTGCCTTAATAAAAACTAACAGCAAACAGCAGGCAATACAGCTTATATACACTCAGAGGGAAAATTAATCCTCTAAGTATGTGCCATTCAGACTAGATGAATGAATTACACAGTCTATACTAACAACTTGTGCTGACTACAGTATAATAAATGAGCACATCTTGTATAAACTAAGCCCTACAGTGATGTCTATTATTGACACTGAGGTAAATGGTGTCAATAAACATTTTACTATTGGATAAACAAAACCATTCCTCATTCTACCTCACCTAAAGAAAACAAAAACTACTAAAAAGTTACCTGACTGTGACTCAAGATTCTCAATAGCACCAAGCAGCGGAAGACTTTCTTCTGTGACTGAGTTATGATATCCCACAAGACTTTTAAAGTTTTGCATAAAGTCTTCAGCAGTTGCAACTACAATTCCATTATCTGTATAACTGGAAACCATCTTGATAGTCTTCTCTAAATTAAAAAAAGAAAATGTACATAAACTGATACCTGCTGTCAACAAAATGCTTTCCATCATATATTCAGAATTATAATTTAACACCTACTCCAGCCCCCTGAAATTATTTCACTCACTATTATTTCAGCAAGAGCATGTTCCTACCTGTTAGAAAGACTATGTGTCGCTGCTGTATGTTCTGAGCCTGAAGCCTGATAAGGCAGTCCATTTCTGGAGCATTTCGAGTTTGTGAATCACAAGTGTGATATGACAAAATCTCAACCAGATGTTTCTTCTGATATACATTTAGAAGAGACAGCAGACTCAGAGCTT